CTTGGGAACATTTTATTGCGCCACCCACTACAGACTGGAGCAATCCTGCTCGCAAAGGCAAATCCCGGAACTTCAATATTGCCATGGTAACCGTGGACTACTCGGATTCACCATTTGTGGTGACGTTGCCAGCAAAGTCGGACATCTTTGGCAATCCACAGCCACTTGCATCTGGCTTGAAGCGAGAGGATGTTCCCAAATTCTATCGAGATCTTCTGAACACACCAAACAAGATCAATGAAGGGCACACGCTGCATGAATGTAAGATTCTTATCTATGTGCTGAATGTGCAGGACTAATCATGGTAGATTGGATGGGCGACAGCTTTGGCAAATATGGTGTGGATTTGACAGTATTTGGACCATACCGCATGCCCTCTCTAAGCTATCAGTACGGAATCGATGACGAGCCAGGCGGCTTCAACGAAGGCGCTTGCCCTAAAGGCTCACGATGCTCTGTGGATCTTCGAACAGATGCACTTGGCGCGTGGCGACGCGATGTCGGAAACGCGACCGCAGACTCGTACGAGCTAGCTTTCATTCTTTCTGCTGGCCAAGATGAGTCTTCCACCTGGCAAGAATTTGGTGAAATGAAGTTCTCTAGCAAAGAGGAAGTTCCAAAGGAGTTTGGACCGCCTGGGAACAGCTCGAAGTCGAACTGGGCAGACACTCGATACGTTGATTGGACTTCGTGGGCTGCTGCAAGCACAATCTGGCCCAACGCTGGGAGCGGTTCTTCAACACAGGGCGAATCATCCGGCATGGCTACATTTGCTCATGAACTGTCCCATTTATTATTCATAGGCGACAACTACAACAACCCATACAGCAATCCTGCTCGTCGTGCTTACACGGGTCCGTTCAGCATGCTTGATCGTGGTTCGTTCAACGGCCCTGGAGGGCCTCACACACGTTGGCAAATCCCACCTGTACAGGGCGCATCCATGGGATCTCTCCACACAATGCGTGACAAGCACCAAATTGGCCTGATCGACAAGACCCCAATCTTACAAATTTCACGATCTGGTCTTGCTACGTCCGGGCCTGTGGTAGCTGAGTTGACAGCACGCTCCGTTGACCCTGCTGGTGGAGTAATGGGCTTCAACGTCAGTTTCGGTGCTAGCGGTGACCTTCAGCCCCGTTGCAACACCGCAACTGATCCTTTTTGCGACGGCGGAAGCTACAACAACTACAACATGGAGGTTGTAGACCGCATGGGAGCTGATAGCTTTTGCCCTGACTCCGGAGTCATGATTTCCAAGACCAAGAATTCTGACCGGACACAGCCATTTCAATGGGTCATTGACGCGAATCCAGAAGATGCGCACGTTGTGGACTTTTACTATCCTAACGGCACAGCACGTTATTGGTCCATTGGAGATTACAGGCAGTTAGTTGACGCACTCTTCCATGCCGGCACAAACAGCGGTAGCGAGTATGAACACAAGGATCTTGCCAATGGCCTACACTTTTACATCCTTTCGACTAGGCGTGTAGGAGGAGTACTCAAGTACACTGTTGGTGTGCGATCCACAACCAAGAACAGCACTCCATCCGCTAAGTACGGTGTTGAGGTCAGCAATGGCGCGGTCGATGGTTCACGCTGCACATTCAAACTCAAAAACACAGGTACAGCTTCCAAAAATGACTCTAACCCACATCCTCAGGATCTTTCCAAATATCTTGGCTCTGACATTTATCGCTTGTCTGCCAAAGTTGACAGCGACTCGTGGAAGGTGGGCGTACCAAATGCTCTTGCGTTCGCTAAGTTCGGCGAAAGTACGGTAGTCAATATTGCAGTTGGACCGAAGACGAACGGAACTCCTGGCACAAGTGGAGCAACTGTGACACTCACTGCGACTAGTGAGAGCGATCCAAATATTAAGGGAACTGCAACATGTAAATTGTAGGCGGCGATTTAGATCGGCCTTGAAACAACTGCAAAGTACCGAAGCAATTTAGGCTCACGATAATACCTGTATTTGAACGCTAAATATTAATGGTAATGATGGTACTTGTAAAGGTGCAGATTCGCGATTCTTTTGTCTATCGTTTTGTCTGAGTTGTGTGCTGTGTATGAAATGATGTCACCACTATCTTATTCACGCCTAAAACTATACCCAATGCGTCACTTTCAATAACTTCTTCCGTACCTTCATATTTCGGTATTCACGACAGGCTTCGAGTGGATTCGCCCTAGTCATCGTATCCACATGCCGGCCGGGTTGTGTCCTCAATCATGTTCACCCAGCTTTGTAGGTAACTGCACTCCTCTAGTCAGACTTATCTTCTTATTTCACGTTTAGTCGAACGGATTACGGGAACAGCAATGGGTGGAGATCTAGATGAAATGTTGTGTAGCCAGGTAATCTGTGCTTTATCATCAGATCTATCCCAATTGCGGGGAGACTACAGGTTGTGCCGCCTGGCATGCAGTCGGAAATTATTGCTCCATAGTGTTGCCCAGGCCATGTAGCCGTTCCCGTGAAAATCTGGGGTCGATCAAGCAATTTTTAAACAACTGCTAACTAGACAAGGAGATAACGGCTCCTCTCTCTTTTGCCGATTAACCATGGGCATATCTAAAGGCCCGGTAGTACCCGGATGATCTTCTGGAACAAGTAATCGCACCGCTAATTACAGGACGAAGTTGTTGTGTCGTGCAGCCCAGAGTAATTAGTACACTTATTTTGAATAGGCAGGATCTGAATTGCACTAATTTTAACATCAGACCCCTACATTTATACACCAATAGCGCTAATTTGGCATGGTAAAAACATCAACATGAGAATGGGGCACGCGGAATCATGTACAAGGTTTAGACGGTTCAATATCGTACCATAGCGGCTTGATATATATAGCTAAGACGAACCATTTCAAGAGAAGTATCTTATCCGCCGTGGATATTTGTTTCCGTGAGAGTAGGTATTCGTAGATGCTATTAACCCCAGCTACACCCCTGACCCTGTTCAAGCGCTAGTATAGAGCACCACTACTCGCAGCATATAGATTATGTATATAAACAACCATCATCGTCGTTGTTTTAGGCTATATCTTCATCGCAAGTAAGACAAACATCAACATGAAGAACGTCGCCTTCCCTCTCATCGTGGCATCTGCCATACAAAACGTTGCTCTTGCAGCTCCAACCGGTCAGGACGAACTTTTGGATAAGCGTCTAGAAAATGGACTCGGAAGGACTCCAGCACTTGGATACAACAACTGGGTAGCTAAGCATTACTCTCAAGATCACAATTTGGGCGTTGCCACTGACCGCAACAACAGAACAATGGAGGTTGCACACACGCCACAGCAGATGCGGCTATGAAAGTTGCTAACCTCCTTGTATCGCTGGGCTTGAAAGATGCCGGCTACCAGTATCTCAACATCGATGACTGCTGGGCAAGCAAGGCCCGTAACAGCACTGGTCATCTAGTCGCCGATTCTTCCAAATGGCCGCAAGGCATCAAGCCCGTCGCAGATAAAGTGCACGGCATGGGCCTGAAATTTGGTCTGTACGGTGACGCAGGCACGCAGACATGTGCCGGCTACCCAGGATCTGAGGGCCACGAAGCACAGGACGCGAAGACTCTCGCATCCTGGGGTGTCGATTACTGGAAACACGATGCTTGCTACTTGCCATGCGTCACGGGCGGCAGGCCCCAGACGTGCTGGGACTCAAGGTCCAGCACGAAAGCGTACTATGCGACGATGCGTGACGCCCTTGCTAATGCTGGGCGTCCTATTTTCTTCTCAATGTGCCAGTGGGGCCGTGACAGCGTCTGGACCTGGGGCAAGGACTACGGTAACTCGTGGCGTATGAGCGGAGATATTGCCAACAACTGGAACTCTCTGGCCTCAATTGCAGCAAATGCTGCCGGTATGGCGTCGTATGCTGCCCCCGGAGGTTTCAACGATCTCGACATGTTGCAGGTTGGCAACGGCGGCTTGAACGAGAATGAAGAGCGTGCTCATTTTGGTATCTGGGCTATCGCGAAGTCGCCACTTCTGATTGGCACTGATCTTTCCAAACTAAAGCAGTCTACCCTGACCGTCCTTAAGAACAAAGTATGTTGCCGAAATGATCCAATAGACAGATAACTGACCGTGATGAACTAGGCTATCCTTGATATCAACCAAGACAAGCTCGGTAAAGCCGCTGGATACTTCCGCCCCGCAGGCAAGCCCGCGCCAGCAAGTGGAAAGTTGTACCCCTACTGGGCCGGTGCTCTCAGTGACGGCGTTGTCGTCGGTCTCGTAGCAAGCGAGGGAGCGGCAACATTGGCCTTCAACTTCTCCGACGTTCCAGGACTCGGCTCAGGAAACTGGAAGTGGACTGAAGCTTACACCGGCGCCACTGGCTCAGGAACTTCCATCTCAGTTCAGCTCGGGTCTCACGATATGCGAGTATACAAGATCACCAAGGCATAAGCAGTCTGGGAAAGATTCTAGTATAGTCAAGTTGCGCTATGAAGACATTCTCTAGCCTACTTATTCTTCAGTATTCTGTAGGGACGTCCTCATGAATTAAAATATATGTCCTTGACCTTGTTCGGAATGGGCAAGTGCATACTATAATCGTGACTCTTATACACTACAACTAATAAGACCGCCACAGTGTATTTTACAATTGAAGAACCTAAAGGACCGCACCAAGTGTAGTTCAAGGTACAGTTAGTGCAAAAATAGTAGCGCCCAACCATGGTTGCCCATTCACTCTGGTCGTATCTAGACCCCTCTCACGCCCAACACCACCACAAAAATCTACCCCCAACCAGCAAAAGTAAGTCTACGCAAGCACAGACAACGAAGCGACCGAGAAGTACTTTTTATAATTAGTACAAGTAACATACAAAGCAATACAAAATATTAATACATAATTTTTACAAAAGGAAAAAACTTGAGAACGTTTCTTCCTTTTGTTAACTAAAGATAGCAAAAAGCCAAAAAAGCGACCGATGTGGGACTCGAACCTAATAGTGTGTTAGTGACATGATAGATTGACCAATAGAATCAACTACGTACCCACAGCCTCAGCCTTAGGAGGGCTGCGCGCTACCATTGCGCCAACCGGCCGGATAGGTGAATATTACAAAGTCGAAATTTAAAGAGACTATAATATGATGACTTTTAATGAAATCCACACCTGCAAGATTAAATTCCGCGCAGCAGAGTCACCCAGTTCGACATTTTCATACTGCCTCGTGTCTGGGTGCAAACTCTGCCTGGCGAATCGGCGAGGGTCGGCTATCTGCAGTTTATCGCTAAGAGTGAAACACCAACATGATTACCTCTCGTACACCACATGGAGCGGGGTATATAACTCTGGTTTGGACAGATATAATAATGACATACAACATTTCTCTCTTATGGACAGGAGATCGGTTGTTGACGACGTCGAGCTCAGTCAAGGGATCCAAGGTTAAGCCTTTCAACGTCTATATCTTCTGTCGCATTATGAATGGTGCGGTTGAGACTGGAACTAAATCAAGAACATGTAAAGAATTATTGATATCTAATGTTGTTGATGTCTTTGACGCGGTTTTGGGTGTCTTATATGTAGTAGAATTTCGAGGCAGATGTTAGCTCAAGCCTACTATGGCAGGAACAGATATATTTATACCTAAAACTAATCATTCCCGGGAGCCATGAAGCGAACCGCTACATTACACTGTATTGAGCTCGTCATACTAACGTCCGTCCCTGCGTAACGAGAAACCCTGCGTGACGAGACACCATAGGTACTCCCCAACATAATAACCTCAACAACAGGTCAGAAGAATAGATATTCTTGGAATAGTAGCCTTAAGCTATAAAGCCTACTCTCTCCTAAAGTCTCTTAGAAATAGGTTCTGCTTACCGTGCAATACGATAATTTGGCATGGGCGTCACGCAACCGCCTCGCTTTGGCTGGTAGTGGGTGCGTTGAAAGCTCATGCATCTTGTCGAAAGTTTGTCAACTTACAGCTTGTTATATCATCATCCTATCCCGAGCATGGCGCTTGAGCTCAAGAGGTTATCGTGCTTCTATGCTAATTCCAAGTCCGCCTGCTAGAAGTGCTAGATAAGGAGGACCCGCACACCTAGCTTAAAGCAGCTTAGCTGTAATCTATCGCTAGATCTGTAGCTGTGTGGTTGTACGGCGCTTTTGCCAAGCGCTCCAGGACACCGAAAACTAGCTCGGATTAGGAACAGGGCTAGGTTTAAAGGCCCTGGCGCATAGCTTCATGTTAACGAACACACCCAGCATCAAACCCGCAATCAGCTTCCGATACAGCCATCGCGTAACTTCAAGATGAAGTGTAATGCACGGCCATAGCTAACGCGAAAGCTTGCATGCTATAGAGATAAACTATCGCGCCGCTCTACAGCTCCGCAAACCCGCCGTTGATCCCTCGTCCGACCCACCACGTCCTCGTACTTCTCGAGCACATCGCAACTGATACATATACCAAGCAGTAGCCGAATATCGCTTCAGCTCGTTGAGGGGGAATATCATGAGTTAGGACTGCGGGCATGGCAGGGGACAGAGACTAACTGGCATGATACAGAATACTAAGATCCGAGTCTAGGCTTCGGCAAGCGGAGTGAGTGTTACTGGAAGGACGCCGTCGTTGCAAGCACGTACAAAGGTGGAAAGGGTCTGCATATCTCAGGGATACAGCTGTCGTACGGTCATACGGCGAATGGCTCCTTGCATGAGCATTGTAATCATCAGGGGCGTGGTAAGGTGCTTCAGTTTGATCTCTGAGGGTGATGAGGAGTTTGGATCGTCGATGCTCATAAGCGCTGGTAAGGGTAGAGCAGAGATCTGATGGTGGCTAAGGTACTACGCTGTCTAATGCTGCATGCCGTCCTGTCGTCGATAATGACCCTTATATCTCTTCGCAATGCCATCTAGTGCGGACGTTCATAGCAAGGGTGTGGCTAGAGCGGTTCGGCCATCCTCCCCACTAGTATCTTACTATATGTGTCAACTGTCTGCTTGTAAGTACCACTAATTATGTTGCCACTAAACCCGTTTCGTGTAAGGAGGATGAGGCTCGATAAATCATTGCCTGAGCCTGAGGAAAACCTACTGAGATTTTTTTCATACGTGATATAGGCAGACGACGTGTAAGTTAACTGCAGCGCCGGTGAGCCACATTAAACTGCGCCACCAGCCACATCAAGTCACCACCGCCACTTGAGTCCAGGGTTAAAGACTTCGCCGTTTTAGGCTCTGTTTAGTGCACGCGCTGATAATGTCAGCGCAAAACCATCAGCGCGTGGGGGACAACCGGATATACCCTACTCAAGCGCGCAGGAAGTTTCAGAGTCACGTTTTTGCCACCAGCTCGGCCGAGGCAACCACAAGTGGCAAAATTGCAACACCTAGTTGTAGATAGTCACGATAGATATTGTAGATGTCAAAAAAAGCTGTATTTTGGTGTTGTAGCAGCTACTAATTGATCTCTCATGCATAAAAATTGTTGTTACTACGCTCATCACGGCATTTTTCGAGCGTCTGCTTGAATTTCTCGCACTCAGCAGTAATAAGATCCTTATCTAAAGCCTGCTAGGCATTTATTAATCTCTTAATTATAGCTTCTCGTGATAGCTGGTTTTAGTGGTGAGTAGATCGTAGCTTTTCAAACTGGTCTTTTAAGTAATCCCAGATCCTCTCTATACGGTTAAGGTTAGGCGATAGCGCTGGCTAGCTTATAATTCTAACCTATCTACTATATTTCTAGCGCTTATCTTCTAATAATCTCTTTACTTTTAAGTGAGGTCCCGCGTTGTCTTCAACTACGTATACTGGACGGCCAATACGCTGTGAGATCTCGTACGCCCAAGGATACAGCTTTGGCTTCAACACAAGCTCACGATAGCGAAGCTAGTCTATACCGCTGACGCCCTTATCACCTTGAGTACGCTTCTCGCGCTTAAAATGCCACTCTGGGCGTCTCTTACGGCGATGGCGGCCGCTTAGGAGAGGCTTAGCGACGTCGCGGAGGCTGTTCTGATAGTCAATCTCTTGTAATACTCGGTATTGAGTGGTGCCTGGTATACGAGTAAGGCGACGGTCCTCTGCTGTACGGTGATCGTTCTCCTATATTCAGTTAGATAGCCTATAAAGTGTTGAAAATTCGCTTACGATACCTGGTTTTCAAGAGTTATAAGGTGCTCATTGAGCTGCTTCTCTGCTTTAGTTTCCTTCTCCTATATATAAAATGGCCCAGCTTTAAATCCTGAGCAGATAACGCCCTAGAATATGACTGACTTAAAGGTATCTGCTAGTAGGTGAGCGTAATTGAATAGATTAGAGCCTTTAAGGCGAGAGATCTTTGGCCGCTTGCGGTGATGGTTATTTTTAACTAGAGTCTCATCGCTGAAAATAAAGACTGCTCGAAGTTGTAACTCACTAAGTGCCTACTTATAGAAGAGCTAACGCGTAAGCTAATGGTCCTCGTCGAGCTTAATCTTATGAGGTGGCACTGTTTTGATAATCTCTCGCTTTTTAAGAACGTCGCGGTAGGTTGTATATGGTATCTGGATACTAAGCAGATCCTCAGCAAGCTGAGCAACAGCGACATGAGGGCGATCCTGAGCGATCTCATCAGCTGTGGCGAGTTGTACGATCGTATCTGCCTTACAAGACTCCTCTGGGAAGCGCTTAGGTCGACTAGAACGCGGGAGATCGTGTATATAGAGTAGTAAGGTAGGTAGGTGAGGATTATTAGGATTGCAACCAGAGCGTATGAGTGTAGTTTGCTATAGAGTTTGAGCACCGTTTGGAGAGACGTTCTCTAACTTTTGACTGATGTAAGTCTATCTACGCCCCTCTATTTTCATTGTAATAATAGCTGTACGCGACTCTATCGGTATCTGGCTCTTACCTGGTGCTATTTGTAATAAATTTGAGTGGGTGGTGGTGGAGTTATGGCTATCTAAAAATTATGGCTATCTGGAGCTGGCGTGTTGGTGTTCGGTTGCAGAAGCCCTCCAAACACGTGACTCTGAGACTTTCTGCGCGTACTGCGTTGCACGAGTAGCTGGCGGCCTTTTAGCGCACTTTTATCCAGAGATTACGTGACTTTGAAAACTCTTGATTTTGGGTGTAGATAGAGAATATAATCACGTGAAAAGTGCGCTAACATCTCAGAACTGCGCTGTCAGCGCGGTGCTCCTTTTCCGGAACTTGCAGGGGCGTAAAACGCCTAGCGACACCTAGCGTCAGCGCATCTGCGCTGACATTGCGCTGATACAACGAGGACAAGTAGAAGCACTAAACAGGCCCCTCAGCGCGCGTTGAATCTGGGTTACTAAGCGCGCTGATGGCCGCGCTGAGATGATCAGCGCGAGCACTAAACAGAGCCTTAGCAAGCCCATATTCGCCTAGTCACCCCACCATGTGCACAGCCACTGTCGACGGTAGCACTCCCCCAGCTCAGCGCCGTGCCAACAGAACGATACACAACACCCTTCAAGTCTAGTCCGAAACGCTATATGTATGCTGCTGCCTTATTATCCACTTGTACAGATTCATAAAATCTTTCGGCCATGCGTCTGTTAAGGGTGGACCCGACCGGCGGCTTTAGCCTGACCGACGACCTAACCGACAATGAGAGACTGAAGTACGCCATCCTCTCACATACCTGGAGCAAGAACAATAATGAAGAAGTCACGTTTGATGATCTTTTCAAAAACACTGGAAGAGCCAAACCCGGCTATAGGAAAATTTCATTGTGTGCAGAACAAGCTATTCGTGATGATATTTATTATATCTGGGTGGACACTTGCTGCATCAACAAATCGAACAATAGCGTCGAGCTCCAACACGCAATCAACTCCATGTTTCGATGGTATCAGAACGCCGAAAAGTGTTATGTGTATCTAGAGGACGTTCCGGGTCCTGGGACAGATACTGGTGGCTGGTCTCATCACGCATCATGGGGGTTGTCTTTGCAGAAGAGCAGATGGTTCTCTAGAGGTTGGACGCTGCAAGAGCTTATCGCCCCCAGAATAGTCGATTTCTTTTCTAAGGAGTGGGGCTTCCTCGGCAACAAATCATCATTAGAGCGGCAGATCAGCGA